TCTAAATTCGAAGAAGAAATATTTCCCAGTTATTGACAAAGAGGAGCTCATTTCATTTTCTAGGTACGTCTCTGGCATTCATGGGGTTTATAGAAAGTTGTGTGAAATGGGATAATCACATAACACTCACTCTCTGGTGAAACCACTTAGAATCTAGTGGAATCATTGTTTTCTCAGGCCATGTTCTACTAATATAGCATGAAGTTTTAGTCCACCTGGATTTACTGTGAAAGAGAAATGTAAAAAAATAAAGGCCAAGGGTGGTGGGTGGGGGAGCGCAAAAGACATTTCATCTGAAAGAAAAATAAGTTGCAAATAATCGTCAAAATAATGGTTCCATTTTATTTAACAAGATGACTCTGAATGTACACTTTTGGCTTATGAACACAGTGTAAAGTATCTCCATCTTCCTTTCAGTCTAGCAATTACTACATACATTTGTAAATAAATGAACACATTTTACACAAGAAAAGAAATGCGTGTGCTTCAGCTGGTTCCGTGTGACTGTGGCGTTAGCTGGTTTCCCGTATCTGTGGAAGTTCGTCGGGTGGGCACGATCACCCCCACTTCCCAAGTGCAATCAAGCCAGACACACACAAAACAAGTGTTCATGTGATAGAGAAGCGTGTTGATCACAGCAAACGGCCATTCCTGGATGAGGTTATTAACTTACGGGTACATTTCCACACCCAGAAACACTTTTTTCTGCTGCTGGTGTACAGTGTTATATACTTTCCTTCCACCTAATGTGTGAAGTCAAATGCGTTTGTCGGGAATGAGAAAATGCAGAGAAAATGCACAACAGCGTTCCTTTTTCACTGGAACTGCAAAGGGCCAAGTATGACCCATGGTGACTCTATGAAAAGATCTACAGTCCTTAGGAAGACAATATCCACTATGCATTACAGACAAACTGTAAATGGTTTTGCCACAACACTTCTGGGCTTTATAGGCTGTTGATGGGTCCAGTAAGAAGTAATATGTAAATTCCATTCTGTGAAAATCTGTTTTACTTGAAGAATATAGATTGCAAAGAATAGCAAAACATTTACTCACAGTGCTGGGAAAAGTATTTACCATGAATTCCTTGGGTCAAAAATTACACACAGGGAAAGAATGAAGCATTTCGAGGCTGATTCTTGGGGGAATCACTAACTTAACATTGTTTCTGCTTATAGAGTAATTGGACTAATTACAAATGGATTTGTCCAACTGGGTCTCTACATTTGTGGTCAGTGAAAGCAATGGATACGGTCAGGAGGAAGCACCTAGTTTGGGGAGTGAAAAACCTCCATTAAACACTGCCTCCGCTCACTGGCAGGCAGTCACAGTCCCTCACAGCCTGACAATATTTGCCTGTTGTGGAAAAATGACAATGTCAGCTCAGGAAATGACATGACAATGTATTGGTTAAATGTTTTCTGGAACACCTACACTATTCAGTTAGAACTGTACTATTTGCAAATGAGTAAATATGCCAAGGGGCTCACAGCATGCCTACCAGACGCAAATATACACAGTTATGGCAAGCTTATTGCAAGTCCTCTTAAAGTAACAGGAAATTTTGATGCAAAAAAGACAGATGAAAATACAGGCCATAAATTGTAAAGGAGCCATACTCCGAGGAAGGTATTATTTGAAAAGCACAGAAGACTATTTTATCCAAGAGGGAATCACAAACATTAAAAATAAAATATTTGGTATTCTACACTATATTACAAAAATAAATATATCCATCAATAAATAGTAAGAAGCCTAGAAACTTTTACAGGAATATTTTGGTTGTGGGCTGTCAAAATCCCTCTGCTACAATCCTCCTCAAGAATCATTTAGGTGTCAACTTCAGTGATGATAATTCTTCCATAATAGAGTAAAAAAGACTGGCGCAGGATGCAGCCAAGCTCTGTGACCAGCAAGGACGTTAGTGACCTCTACCTCCTGAGGATCTGACAATTTCACGGCTTCGTATTAGCGTAGGGATATAGGAGAGGTGAGACACATTGCAAGAGGCCTGATGGGGGTCCCTATTTAAGGTTTGTGCCTTTGCATTTCTTGATGAGAAAAAAAAATGCAACTAGCAACGTTTGAATAACCAACATATGACTTGCTCTACTCTTTTTCCATAGTGAAGAAGCAACATAGAAATGCATGATTATGTCTGGCCTGTAGTAAAAGGACAAACATCTGGGATACACAGCCTAATCACTGACAACCTAGACTTTCACATCTCTTTAACAGAAGAGTGTGCTTGCCACAAGATTGCCCCCCAAACCTGGCTGAGTCAGCAGAGGGCGTGAAGGAAACAGGCCCTGGCACATCTTAGTGTTCTACCATCAGCACTCTAATAGCAGCGGGGTGTAGGGCCTGTACACGTGGCTCCTGAGAGCAGCTTGCTGAGTTTTCAGGAATTTTGCAAGCCGTTTGACATCACACTGGTAGCTTGAAATAGGCTACAGTGATTCTGGTTCAGCTGAGATTTTGCTGTATGTCTATCATAGACAGTGTCCTTTAGAAAAGAGAAGCAGTACCGTAGAGTAAGTGAGGATACAGTGTGTACCGTGGATATAAAGGATGCACTATGTCCCTCTGAGGGCTCTAAGTGTCACTATCCAAAGCCAGTTACCCATGTGCATGCGCGCGCACACACGCACGCACGCACACATGCACACCACTTTATATGGAAGCTCTTTCATAAACGAATGATCTGAGTTGGGTGGCCAACTCAAATTGTCAATCACCGTATACTCACTGAAGGTCAAAATTCCACTTTTCTGGGGCAGTGATTTCCCAGAATCTGCCCTCTGGACATCAGTGGACAATGGATATACAGAGCAGAGGCCCAAATCGGACAAAATGTCCTTCTAGCTTCCCTTACCTCTATTTTCTAGTGCAATTTGAGTTTATCACCCCAAGAGGTTTGTGAAAGGGAGGCTGCTGGTTTCCCATGGTAAAAAAAAAAAAATGCAAGACTTCTTAAGGAAGCATTCAATGGGGTGAGTGGGGGACAATGTACTGGAAACCACATTCCTAGAAGTGTGAACCTTCAGTGTCGGCTTCCTGGAGGAGTCAAAACAATTTGAGACCTATACTGCTCTCGTTCTTCCTGCACAAAGCCCATGATATCACATGGATGTTGGTGCTGGGGGGAGCTAAGATCAGAGCCTCAGTGTCCCTCCATGTAGCCAACTGCTGGCAAGCCCATTGGACCGTCTGTATCAGGAACACTTCCCCATTACCTTAGTCCTGGCCAGTTCCAAACTGGGAGACTGCAGCATGGGAGAGTTGGGAAGCCTACCAGGGGGCAAACCTGATTTCAGAATTGAGGCTTAGCTCTTGAGTCATTAGCTTGTGTGTCTCTTTATGGATCCATTTATTTAGATGTATCTGTTTGGACCCTGGTTTTCTTTTTCTTATACTTAAGTATTCTTCATGAACAAAACCTTTCATAAAGAATACTTATTAGAATAAAGTCAAATTAAATCTTGGGAGGAAATCTAGAAATTAGAGCACTAACCCCACTCACCCTGACAGCAAATGCTTTCAGGTGTTCCCTCCCAACCCCACAGCAAGGGCAATAAAGGCCAATGAAGACAGGAGAAACAAGAATGACAGAAGGATATGAGACGCTGGGGCAAGAAAAGAAAGAAGGAAGGAGACGGGTGGAAAGAAGCAAAAGCAGGGGTGCAGAGGCAAGGGAGAAATAGTAAGAATTAAAGAAAAATATTAAGAAGAGTCCAACAAACAGATCCCTTCTGATTTTCCTCCTCTTGGTCTTGGGTAATTTTATTTTGTCCAAAAGATTTAAATCTCCAGTTAAAACTGCTTATAATTTTACAAACACATCCTAGGTTAGCATCTATATCCTTTTCTCTCTTCTCCTGCGAGCACTGTCCCACCTCCTCTACCCTCTGCAGCAGTAAAGGCCAACACACATGGCCTTGCTGTCCTGTTATCTCAGGAACATCCTGAAGTTCCTTCTGTTTGTTTTTTCTTTCTTTTTTTTTTTTTCTTGACCAGGGGCTGCCCTCTAGAGCGCAGTGGTGTTCCAGGGACTCATTCTTTGGTAATGTAGCTTAAGGCCACTGCCTCTTGAAGCCCTTTGATTTCTGTATCAGATAACCCCTCTCCTTAAACAGGCAGCACCCTTTACCTGGTCCTGTTGCCCTGAGCAATGGCACAAACTCAACTGATAAAAGCTAATCTACATTTCCGGGCGCCTGGGTGGTTCAGTCAGTTAAGCCTCCGACTCTTGGTTTCAGCTTAGGTCATAATCTCGCAGTTTTGTGAGTTCGAGCCCCACATCGGGCTGTGTGCTGATCATGCAGAGCCTACTTGGGATACTCTCTCTCTCTCTCTCTCTCTCCCTCTCTCTCTCTCTGCCCCTCCCTTACTCACACTGTCTCTATCTCTCTCAAAATAAATAAATAAACTTTAAAAAAGTTAAAAAAAAAAAAAGCTACACCTACATTTCCAATAGTATTTAGGAAATGTCATACTTCATAGGATGGCCAAATTCCTGGTGCAAATTATCTTGACATAAATCCTACTCAGAGAAGAGTTGACTGAGAATATACCATCAGTTTTTAATATATACACATTTGATTGAGTCATGCATATGAGGGAGTATAATCTACCTCTATAGAACCAGGAGAATTTTGTAAGTTTATCTCTGTACACATATACATACACAAGTATCTATCGCTGACACTCTATTTCTGCTTAGGGCCTGTTGTTTTCAAATTGACATAGAGGACAATTAGTGTGGCTTGCCACTTGCTATTGGAAATGGCATTGACAAGAAATGGCAAGTCCAAAGAAAAACATATTGGAAGGGATGATATTGTATTAGCAAAACATGCATTTCCTACAACAAACTGACCTGCCCATTTCCCTAAGGCAGCAAGCCTCTATCATCTGTACACTCTTATTAAATAATCTCATTAAATAGGAACACAAAATATACACATTTACAGTTATTAAATTAGCACAGGACTCCTCTTCTATCTACAGCCACATTCAGAGACTGCCATGCCTTCATATTTGAACTTGTAGGTGACCACGCCTTTGTCTAAGTAGAGGATGGAGATGGGCTCTAGCTTGGTGGGCACACAGCAGGCTTTGGAAGCCTTTTGGGAATTCTTGAGGTGGACCAGGGCCTGGATAATCGCATGCTTTGTGGGTGTGAGATGCTCTGCAAGGGGGTAGTTGCAAACCCCACGGCATTCGTAGGCTTCATAGCCAGGTGGGGCGATGATCCAAGAGTCCCAGCCAATCTCTTTGAAATCGATGTAGAGCGGGGTCCTCTTGCAGTAGTTTCCTTTAGCATTCCTTCTGATGCGGGCAGTGGAGTCATAGATGATGTTTGACCTCATTTGCAGCAAAGCTTCTTCTCCAGGTCCGCTGGAATAACTGTCCATGCCCAAGTTGTCAAACTCCAGAAGTTGCTCATGGGCAATCATTTCATTCAGTTCTTCTGTCCGCTCCTTCTCGCTGCTTTGGTCATCAGAAAACACGACAAGCAAAGGGACATGCTTATTCCTGGCACTGGTGTCTATTTCCAGTTGTCCCCTGCCAGCATCCTCAACTCCGTCGTGTCTACTCTCAATGTGGACCTCCAGCTGGTGGGTGGATGAACCTGACTTTTGCCAACGTCTAATGGCCTCAGTGACATCAAAAGTTTCCCACTCACTGTTGGTTCCATAGATCTCCCCTGACACCAAGACCAGCATGCTTCTTTCACCCTCACTGTCCCCTCTGCTCTCTAGTACCTCAAAAATGGTAATTTTTCGGTCTACTCCATCATAGATCATGCGATCTCTTTGCACCAGCGTGTACAACCTCAGTTCAGCCATGATAACCTCTTCATGGTGAGGAATGGACACATTGAAGAGGAGAGGGTATTTTCGGAGCCCATTAAAACTGGCTGGCTGGGAAAACAGATCTGAAAAAAAAAAGACAAAAATCGGAATTGCTGTATGTCACTGAGAAAAACAGATGCTTATTTATGTGATAAAAGGGCCTGTCTGCACGAGAAGCTTGACACTGAGAAATCAATGAGAGCAAACACAATGTTAACATTCTCTGACAGAAAACACTGAAAGGTCAGTGGTAGAATACTAAGCTGACTTTCGCGGCCAAGGCTAAGATGGAAAATGGCTGCCTGATGAATGGGACACCGCTCTCCCGGCCTTGCTTGCGTAGCTTATCAGCCACAGAATGACAGAGCTGGGAGGAAGCCTGGAGACTGTGCAGGCAAGCCCCCAGTTATTCCAACCAGTGAGGAGCCGTCAAATTGGACATGGGGTGGTTGTTCTTTCTTGGAAGTTTTTCAGAGATGAGGACTTCATGGCTTTTCACATGTGCATTTGTAATGGGTGGAGATTGCCCACATGGTTGGCTGAGCATTAAAAGACCTTCAGCTATATTGGGGGTTGGCAAACTATAGCCCATGGGCCATATTGGGCTCTACCTCTGGAAATAAAGCATCATGGGAACATAACCTGACCCATTTATTTCTGTGTGGTCAGTGGCTACTATTGTACTACAATGGCAGAATTGTGACAACAACATGGCCCCCAAAACCTAAAATATTTACTATCTGTCTGGCCCTTTACAGAAATATTTTGTTGACTTCTGCTCTAGACGCCAAAATCTGACAAGGTAACCAGATAGCCAAATACCAAGGGGGTCACAGTGGATGAATTTTGGGTGTGTGGTTGTCAACAAGGAGGAATGGGAAGAAAGGAAACTTGGGATAGAAGACTTCTATCCCAAGGGTAGTCTTCTACCCTTAGCAACCATCACGGAGTTTTGGTACATAAGAACCACTCGGAATGTTTATGAAACAAATTTTTAAAAGTCTCAGAAGCATGCCTCCAAATGTTAGCATGTTGACTTCCTATCTGAGAATTTTACGGGAGCCCAAAGCCTCTATACACTTGCCCCCAGGAAATACATGATTACAAAATGTCCCTGAAGGCATTTGTCAACCAGCAAAGGGTTCCATGAAACCAGGGTACTAAGGACCCACCAATGGAGGGGTTCTCTATTACCTCTGGCAGTTTTCCCAACTCTGTAACCAATTCCTGATTTTAGTGTGGTCCTTGTTCCAGACTGTACCCTTTAATATTCTTATTTCACTTTATAATATTTTTTTTTTAGCACTTAATATCTCTTTTAGTTCTGTCCTAAGCAACAACATTCATGAAATGAGGGCATTGAGGTGATAGCCATGTGGACTTTTTTCTGATCCATGTTAATGAAAATATATAATAAGGTCTCATAATTTACAGCTTTCTCTGGGTACCACTAAAATCATCTCAAACACCAACAGTGGGAAATACTGGTCAAAGGAATGAATTTGAATTCTCTAACATAACTCTTAAAAGCAGCTATAATCAGGCCTTAACCTCCTGATCGACGTATGGCTGCCATTCATCCCCTACAGTACATGGAACATTGTAATTGGCCAACTGATATTTGTTGAAAGTTTAAATCATAAAAATTCCTATCGAAAGGAGACTGAGGGGTGCCTGGGTGGCTCAGTCAGTTAAACGCCCAACTCTTGATTTCAGCTCAGGTCATGATCTCACGGTTTGTGAGTTCAAGTCCCACATTGGGCTCTGCACTGACAGTGAGGATCCTGCTTGGCATTCTCTCCCTCTCTCTCTGTTCCTCTCCCACTGTGCTTGCTCTCTCTCTCTCTTTCTCGCTTTCTCTCTCTCTCTCTCTCAAAATATATGAATAAATAAAAACTTAAAAAAAATAAAGTAGGCTGATATCTTCACCATTTGCCAAAACATTCCTTTGCCTTGTTGTGTACTGCACCTTTGGAGATGTTCCTCTGACTCTTGGAAAGTCTTCTCCCCTTTTGGGTGTGTGGCCCCTCCTCGTGGGGTTTTCCCCCTCTTCACATCCCTATCTAGAAGTTCACTCCCTTCTGGGTCCCTTGAATATTTACTCTCTGTCTCTCCTTTGAGCTTTGCCATTTATATCCTTCCATTTCAGGTTTCTTTTTATGAATGGGTCTTCCCAACTAGATCATGACCAAGCTGGCAGGTACTGTGCCTTAAACTCCTTCTGTGCCTCCATGCTACCATGATGCCTTAAACAGAGGCAACACTTTCAAAATATTGATTAGTTGATTGTGAACATCAGATCAAACTGATTTATGGGCATGGCATATGTTCTTAATACATCAAGTAACTTGGGAGTTGTCCCTTTTGTAAGAATAGAGAGACTTGACTCTCCTTGGACAGGGAACATGAGAAGATCAAAAATAGGAAGGTAGACAGGTTGCTCCATCCATGACAAAAGTGCAGGATAAAAGCTTATGGTGGTGGGTGGAAGAAATTCCAAAGGAGCACAAGGAAACTTTGGGTGGTGATGAATATGTTCATGATCTTGATTGTGGTCATGGTTTCAGCACATGTTTATATATGTCAAAACCTGTCAAATTATATACTTCAAATATGTGCAGTTTATTGTATATCTATTATACTTCAATAAAGCCATTAAAAAAATAAGTCCGCAGAGCATGTACAAATATACTAAGTAGTGGATGGAGGTGTTGCATTCTAGGCAAGGGAACTGACGTTAGTTGAGCATATTGTAACGTGCCAGGTGTTTTGAAAGCATTGTTTTATTTAGTACTTACAATGACTCTTTATTGCTATTGTGCTCATTTTACACCAGAATAAATCAAGTCTCAGTGCAGAGGACTGACTTCCCCAAAACGATGAAGTGAGGTCAGCAGCGGTAGGAATTAAAGTCATGGCTTTTTTCTACCTTAGAGGTGCGCTTGTTTTCCCCTGATTAGTTAGATTTGGAGGAGGTTTTTTTGTTTTGTTTTGTGGGGATGGAGGGGTTGGTCTTTGTCTCCTAGGCAGCTGCACTGTGCAGACCCAAAGAGTCAAAGGAGGGACAGTTAACAGCCACTAGGGCTAGCCCAGTGCACACTCCACCTGCAGACTGGCAGAGGACGCCACAGCCGGGGCATCCACGGAGAGATCCACTCCGGCTTTCGCTGGTGTCCAGTGATCAGGTGCTCTGTAAACTCCACTTCCTGACCTGCCTCACGCAAATCCTCCACGGAAGAAGCCGGAACTGAAGCACTCCTGTTTTCCCAGGGGATGTAAACACTTTCCCACCTGCACTCTCAGCCAGGCACCCAGGGCTCAGTGCTCGGAAACACTAGGAAGGTTTCCCATGGAAGGAAGCTATTTATTTTCAATCCAGACTCACCCCCAAAAGGAATCGTAACTTCAGTTTGCCATTTCCATTATGTTACTAAATGTTACTAAGTAACATTTCCAATGTGTTACTAAATATCTGAAATTTGGGCAGTTACCTAAATTTTAAAGGCAAACGATATCTTTAGGACTGAGCAACACCCACTCCCCGTTTCCTCCAGTGCCTAGAATTTAAGGAATTCATTCGTAATATCTGACGTTTATTCAGCAATTCATAGTAAATGCAGTGCTTTCTCACTCAGAACCTCTTTGAAATAGCTCAATTATGTTACATAGGTATATTATCCCCAATTTACAGATGAGCAAATTGAGGCCCAGAGAAATTAAACTAATTGTCTCTAGCTACTAAGTCAACCGTGTCTCAAAATTCCAAATCCTAAGCTATTGCTTTGCTATTGCCTTTCTGCTTTTAAGAATGTCTGGTCAATATCAATCAAAACCCTCTTTTCTACCTGGTTAATGATTATGGTAAATATTAAAGAATTCATTTCTTTGGATCTACAGCTTTTACCATACATATGCCTACTAGTACCATATTAACTAAAAGATTAACTTGCTAGGTCATTAGATTTAGTCACTGAATAAAGCTGGGGGAGATACCATAGGTTTCCTACTGATATTTAAAATTTGCACATTACTATTCATAAAGACATTGAAATAAGCTGGATCATTAACTGGGTCATACATTATTCCTGGGCATTATAAACAGTGATTCAAGGATAAACATGTCACACAAACACACCAAAACTTTAGGAAGAACCTCTAAAACATACATTTTCAGCCTGTCTGAATATTTCTTCAATAAGGTCAGGAAAGAGAAACTCATTCAAAGTTCGAAAGAAGCACAAATCACAACTTTTGGGTGTTGTCTGTTTTCATCATTTACATTCCAAGCAGAAGTTCATGCATTTTTGAGTCAATCAAAAGACAAACAGAAATTGAGACATATCTGGAAAATGACACACACAAGTATAGTGGTCGACCAACATAATTTTTTTATCACTTACTGTTCAAACTTAAAAAAATTTTAACAACCCAATCATGAAGTCAAAATGGCTTTGGATTAAAAGATATTCTTTAGTGCCTTTTAATAACATTTGGGAAATGACCATGAAAATGGTATAGACCCAAAATGTGAATTGTTTTTGAGTATCTATGTACATACACCCTTATACAGAGGCCTTCACCCTTATCTATATTATTCCCACGCATTGTAAATTTTCTTATCCGCCTCTTGAAAAAAAATCCAAGCAGAATCTATCAATAGTATGTAAACTTACCTTCATTTTTGAAGCTCCTAATGATGTTGGCAGATGGCATGGAGGTCCGATCTGTTGCAAATTTGTTGTAGAGCTCCAGCATGTACTCTGGTGGGTCAACCTTGGCTGAATCCTGCGAAGGGATGTCGGAGAGGTTCAGTGTCTTGAGGAATTCATTCTTCATGCTCTGCAGCAATGTGTTAAAGTCGACACCATCTTGCTCTGAGAAGACATCATCGAAGAGGGGCATATCTTCTTCCAGAGGTGACTGCTCCAGACTCATGATGGGGCTGCCAGAAACCGAGTGAACCACCAGGCAGACGAGAGCGCACAGTTGCAGGGCCAGAGAACCCATGACTCTGCTCAAGCCCCCAGGCCAACCCGGGAAGGTTTAGCTCTCCTGGGCTCTAAGTGGCAGTTTTATCTTGTAGCGCGTTAATGTCTCGTGTCACTGGAGACAAGTTTGGAAACTCTTCCCCTCTCTCTCCCTCCCCCTACCACTCTTCCTCTCCCCTCAAAAGTCAGGTTGCAGTAATTGGATAACAAAATCCCCTATAGGGGCCTAGCCTTTCTTATCTCCCCAGTGTAAACTTGTGCACCAGATTTTGTTTCTATCTTGCGATCCTTTTTTCTTTTAATGAGCATTTTGTAAACATTTCCACATTCTGACACTGGCGAAGAGATAGGACAATTTTCTCTTCACAGAAGCTCTGCTTCTCTTCCTTTCAATCCACTTCCTTTTGGCAGGAATGTCTAAGTTCTGCTTTTATGCGGTTCACTTTCACACATGCCTAGAATAGATACTAAGAATCAACACAATACACATCAGTGGCAACACGTATTAATTCCAGTGATAGGGCTTCCGTCCTCACATCAACATTTCTGAAGTCAGATCAAATATCCAGCATCTCTAAGTTAAGCTAATAGATATAACTGAATTTATATAAATTTTTAGAAGCTTGCGTTTTTAGAAACAGGGAAGTATAAACTTTGTGGTCAAGGGCCTTTTCATACAGATTTAATCTGGTTAAATGGCTTTTGAAACATAGGGTGAGTGTTTCATTATAATAGCAACTAAAATTTCTTAGGTGCTTTCCTATAAACAGGCGTTGTGCTAGGTGCTTTGTGTATATCACCAAATGTGCTCCCTCTAATAACCCTATTACTATTCCCATCGCAGGTATGGGTCACTAAAATTCAGTAACTTGCTAGAGGTCACAGAGCTACAAGGTGATAGAGTCAGGATTTGAACCTAGGCCTTCCGACTCTTCTACAAAGAAGAAAACAGACTTTTCAACCGGTGTTCCCTGAGGTTGGGGCAAGGGCTAAGTAAGCCCCAGCCGAGCCTTGCCTAGAGAGTCCACAGTCAGGAGGCAGGCAGCGATTTGCAGCTGGACATGAAGCCCGGGTCCTTCACCCTGGCAATGAAGTATCAGGATGGCCAAAAATCTCTGCCAAATCCATCTTTATGGCTAAACCAAACTGATCAGGTGGTTCCAAATAAAATTTTGGCAAACAGCATTATTAGGCAGGTGAAAAATGCCAAATGCCTTTGTCTGAGAGACTGGTGAAACTGATTGTGTGCCTGGTTTAGGAAGGACAGATCAAGTTCATATCACTTTCCAGCCCTCGTTAGTGGCAGTATTGGTGTGGTGCGGTCAGGCTGGGTGGAAAACTCCAGGGAGTGCTCTCTCCCCTGAGGTGGTGGGACTGGTGTCTCCTGACTTGTTCAGTGCACTCCCTGTGCAATTACAGGCAGCTGGCGTTGTGTCCAGAAGACTGGTTCCAGGTATTTGATACACTGCAATACTCTCCTAGTTTCTGAGTTAAACTTTCCTATGTTTACCCCAATAGGTTGGCTACAATATCTCCACTATCCTTTTTCTTGTGAGCTCCCTGTGCAACCATCTTCTGATCCTTTCCTCCCCTCAAATGCAACTTTACAGCAGTTTTCTTGAACTACCATAGAAAGACTTGTATTTTGAGGGAAAGTCCCTCCTCAAAATTGTGCCTTTGTTGAGCAGTTGTTGATTTTGATTCAGTGTTCTATCTTGGTTGAGGCTCCGGCTCCCACATTAAAAAGACAATTGTAGAGTAGAAATAGATTATACCCTAATAGGTCCATAAGCAAGAGAGTCCAACCCGCCCCGGGGATGGGCTTTAACATGAGGTTTCTGACAGCATACCAGCGGGGCCCTTGTATCATGTCCTGCATCAAAACAAGCACCCGTTTCTCTTCACACACACAGAGATGTCAACGCACACTCCAGAACTCTGAATGGCAGGCATGTGCGTGTAACTGCCTCAGGACAGCAGAGTAAGTGACGGTACTTACAGCCCGGGCGCACTGGCTTCAAAGGTCAGGAGGAGGGACGGACATCCCACATCACAGAACTCCAGCGTTTTGCATTCTTAGGGGGAACACACGCAGCTGAGATTTCCATGAATCCTCCGTATTCGGTGTTGGAGTAACTGTTGGGGTTGAACATCTGGACCAGTTGCTGCATCAAGAATGTTTATATTTTCGGCTGACTTAAATATAAAATAACAAAATCTCTATAACCACATCTCAATGCCTATGACTTCTTGAAATGTAATGTCCCTAAGCCCCACATCTGCGCTGGGGGTGGACAAGGAAGGAGATTGGACTCCATGCATGGAGGAGAGAGGCAGAAGCCTCACCCTCTTCTAGGCCTGGGATACTTTGCATTTTAGCTGCAGAGTGTCTTTATCCACATGATTTTACCTAGAAGCTTCTCCTGATGGCTCTCACCTGACTTTAAAAGGTCCAAATATCTCCACATTCCTTCCCCTATCTTGATTTCCCGGACACAGTCTATTCTATTACTTTGCACTGTCTCATTATTTTGGATCCCTTTCATTTGGAACGTGTTATAACCCGTTTAGAGTAGATGGAAGATGACTATTTTCTGAGTCAAAGATGAAAGGCATGTCTAGATGTTTTAAGAGAAACTCCATGGGTGGGGAGCAAAATATTAACTAGCATCATGCTTATCAAACCCACTGTAAAATGCTCCAGAGTCTCCACTTTACAAAGTGTGGGCCAACTTTTAAGACTAGTTCTAGTTACTGTACATACTCGAAGGATCTGACTGAACTCCATTGGAGTTTTCAAAGGGGTCTGTGATCCAGGGAAGGTAAGATCCATTGGACAACACCCATGTGAATGCTGCTGTCCCCTGCTAGGACTGAACAGGTCCTGAATAAATGCGATCAACAAAATTGTCTTGACTGACAAATGGTCAGTGAAGTCAGGAGATCTTTGGACATGACTCCACCTTCCACCTTGGACCCTACTTCAGAAGCCTGACACTACTCTTGCTACTTAGGAATTTTCAGGACTTTGAGGTATACCTTCTCAAACCAAGTATGATAATAAAAACATTCAGCAAGCCATATAACGGGTCCAAGCCAATCAAAACAGATACAAGCCAGAGTGCCAGAGCAGGATTGCAGAGGCCTCAAGCTGCCCTTAATGAGCTCTAGATCTTGGGGAGTTTGGGGTGGGATACTGGTGGAGGGGCTTGGGCAACAGCTATTTACCAACCTGTATGGAAATATTTTGGTATTTTAGCACTACATATTGCCGTTGTACTATGTATAACAGGTGCACGTTAAGTATTGCCTAAAACTAAGCCAGAGCTCTGCAAGCTACATGCCGTTAGAATTTGCTAACTCAACACGAGGATAGATAGCCTGCACTGATTATTCCCTTGCCTGCTACTAGAATCTGCTTTCTGGCTGCCGTCTCACTCTCCAGTCCAGATCTTGCCCATAGTACCGAGACTTAGGAAACCATTTGGGCTGCCTTTGTCCCTCGGCTGGGTCAGAGAGCTCCTGCTCTTCTCCTCTGATGTCATCTCCCCCCACATCTCCTCTAGGATTGGAAGCTGCCTCGACGGTGGCATTTCTCATCAATTCATGTTTCAGAGTCCACATTTTCAGTCAAGGAAGTGTTTCCTTGCTTCTTCTGAGCCCTCAGCATTTAGGTTGCTACTTACCTGAGGCTTGTCTGTCTACCAAGTGGTTCTCACACAGCAGCACACAGGGGCCATCTCCTCAACTCAGCTCCTCCAACGTCTGTGGTTTAAGTAGCCCCTTACCTCCTTCTTTCTATAACCTTCCACATGAGCCCTTCATTCACCAATCAGGCTTCTCATGTGAATTTTCATCAATAATTAGGCTAGTAATAGGGGCGCCTGGGTGGCTCAGTCGGTTAAGCGTCTGACTTCAGCTCAGGTCATGATCTCACAGTTCCTGAGTTCTAGCCCCACGTCGGGCTCTGTGCTGACATCTCGGAGCCTGGAGCCTGCTTCGGATTCTGTGTGTCTCCCTCTCTTTCTGCCCCTCCCCGCCCCCACTCATGCTGTCTCTCCCTCAAAAACAAATAAGCATTTAAAAAAATTGTTTTAACTAGTAATTAGGCTAGTAATAAAAAAATTCAGTTCTTTGTCACAGTTTTCCCCTCAAGATTTCTTGTACATACCTACTATGTACGGATCAAAAACAAAACCTAAAGAAAACAGACCAAACCCCTGACCTTATGGAGTTTACTTTCGAGCTGGGAGAAGAGAAACAATAAACAAATATACAACTAAAATGAAGTGTCTGGTTGGTGGTGATAAATACAGTGGGGGGAAAAAAGTAAGAGGACAAGGAATGCCAAGGGGAAGGGGTTGCTATTTAATTGTCAAGTCTAGGGAAGGCCTCCCAAGTGGAGGTGAGGGAGCCAGCCATGCGGGTCCACGGAAGGAAGAGCATTGCAGGCAGAGGGAACTGCCCATGCAAAGACTGTAAAGTGACAGCATGTTTGGGAGGCGCAAGCATCAGCGAGAAGGGCAGGATGGTTATTAAAATCAAGTGAGGGGGAGAGTTACACAAGATGAAGTCTAAGAGGAAGCAGGGGCTGGACCACTTAGGAGGTCCTGGATTCTTAACAAAAAAATTTTTTTAATGTTTGTTTATTTTTGACACAGAGAGAGAGAGAGAGAGAGAGAGAGAGACAGAGCATGAGTGGGGGAGGGGCAGAGAGAGAGGGAGACACAGAATCCGAAGCAGGCTCCAGGCTCTGAGCTGACAACACAGAGCCCGACCCGGGGCTCGAACTCACGGACCGTGAGATCGTGACCTGAGCCAAAGTCGGACGCCCAACCGACTGAGCCACCCAGGCGCCCCATGGATTCTTTTTAAACAGCCATGCTACACAGATACATAACTTTGCCTTTTCCTTTTTTGTCACTCACCATTTCATCTCAAGGGTTTTTCACATTCCCACATGGTCTTCACAACCAGTAATGTATTCATATATTTTGTTTACTTGAAATTTGGGTCTGT